GTGCGAGAGCAGCATCCCGTTGCCAACCATTCGCCCATATACCCGGCTCGCCACGCGCTGGTGCTGAGTGCAGGCACACCTTGACTGTCTAGGTGCTCGCCTGCAGCCGCTGCGGCCTGGAGGCTTGGTGCGGCAGCCTGATTCCCGGACCGGAGCTCCTGCAGGCAGCGTGCAGCAGCTTCCGGGCAGCGCTGTTGCAGCACTGGCAGGGCGTCCGCCCACGCCGCCCAGTATGCTGCAGGGGAGAGGCGTTCCGCATGCATGAGGCCTAGGCCCCCTAGGGAAGCGGGCAGGAACGCGATGTCACGGGCCTGACGCTGTGATTGCTCCGCATCTGCTGTGTGGCCGCCTAGCATGTCCTGCAACGTGCGCCACACCTATTCATCGTGGTCTCGCGCATAGGCAACTATGGCAGCCGGAGGCACGGCTATGCCCCGCACCCCCCCTCCGGGCTTGCGCAATGCGGTGAGCCGTGACAAGGCGAGGGCATCGATGATGCTAGGCGGCAGATCTGCCCCTGCAAAGCAGTTGACAGCGAATGCCAAGAGCTCAAGGGCCGCGGGGTCATCGAGGAGCAACTTGTAGTGGTCAACGGTTGCCCCTGAGAGGCCTGGTGCAGACCCTCGCTTGGCACTCCTGAGAGATTCCGCGACTTGCTGGACCGACAAGGCGACAGCCTCGGCCGGCTCATGGGTGAGCACTTCTGCAGGTATCTCGCGGCGCCGATGCGGCGGCCGACGCGAGGGATCTGACAGTGCATGGAGAGTCTCATCATTCCCGGGGGCCAAGGCGGCTGCGGTGAGGGTTTGGCGTGCACGGGTCAGCTGGCCTTGCCTAACCCTTTCGCACGCCTCCTCAAGCACGGCTGCGTCAGTGCGGGGCACGTTGCGTTGGCCAGCAGTTGGTGCTCCAGCCCGGGCTTCCCGCAACAACTGCTCCCACGCGCCTGATTCGAAGAGCTCGACGCGGCGCAGGAGAGCGGCACGCCCGACTGGACCGGTGTCACGGCAGCGTGCCAGCAGCAAGCGCGGAGCCAGCAAGAACAATTTCCACGCCGCTTCCCGGGCAGGCTCGTCCCGCCGCCGATAGGCAATTTGCAAATCGTTGAGACAACGGATGAGGCACCTGCGTACCCCCGCCATGAGAAACCGGGGCACCGAGCGGATTGTTGGGAGCTGGCTGCGGAACTCCTCAGCAAGGTCGATGGTACCCAGCCATGCCAGTGCCGCTCGTGGCCATGCCGGGGGCGGGCTGCCTACAGGCGGCGCCTCATTCCCGACGGCAGCTCCGTCAGTCTCTGCCTGGCTATCTGCCCTCTCCGCTGCAGGTGGCGCAGCCGCCTGATCAAGTGCTGTGGGAGCAGCTTCTGTGGGAGACAATTGTTCAACGTTGATCTCTGGGATAGGGTGTGCTTCAACCTCAGCTGCCGATAATTCCCCATACGTCAGAGTCAAACGGAACTCATCTGAGAGGCGGTCGAGCCGGCTTGCTAACTCAGAGCCACCGTATAGCATGAGGCACACTTCTTGGCCCGCCGCACTGATATACCCGTCTGGGCGAGCAATGCGTCGCACAACCCAGCCGAGGTGCACCAGAGTGCTGGGCGGGAGAACGGCTGCCTCTGCAAGGGCGAGTTGGTGCAAGCCCCCGTTGCGATGGCTAGCCGCTGCGATGAGAGCCTCTGTGAGGGCAGCTACAGGGGCCGAGACAGCCAGTGCTCGACGAGCTTCCTCCCAGTGTGGGGGAGCACGTGCCTCTGCACGCCACATGGCGATCGCCCGATCTGAGAGCGCCCCGAGCGCACCATGGAGAAGTGGCACATAAAGCCAGGAATTGGTAGGCGACTGGACGTCGCGCTCGGGAGGCCCTTGGTCGTACCACGCTCCCCGGGATTGCAGCTCGAGGTGTGCCTCTGGAAAGCGTGTGTCAGCGTGATGCGAGCGCGCAGGATGCAGGTTCGGCGGCTCGGGTTGATGTGGGTTTGGCAGGGGCTCATCGGGATCTGGAGTCCGAGCGAGCGGCTGTGGGGGCGGTGCCGCTGGAACAGGCGCGGGCCGGGCGCACCGTTGAGGGCAGCCGAAGGCCTCCGTTCCATTGACGCGGTCGTACTCCCACTGGAGGATGCTTCCGCAACGGTCGCATGGACTGCCCGCTTCGGCCGGGATCAACAGGTCACCGAGCTGCTCAGATTGAGCACAACCCATGCAAACCCAAGTTGGTTGCCAAGCAGCGATGCCCGCCTCGTGCCGGATTGCAACTGGCGCCCAACGCATGGTGCGATCGGGCAGCCGAATGAAGTCAACCCCTCCCGCGCGACCCATGGCCGCTATGTGATGGCAGCAAAGAATCCGAACACCTGGCCGTGGCCGCGGTTCCGGCGCATCATGCGATGTGAAGGCGCGGAGCGCGTAATCCGGGACAGCAGCACGGACAGTGCTCTCCCCAGAAACGCGGGTCGGAATGCTGACACCGTGTTGAATGCAGAGATGCCGCAGCGCCGCATCCTCCCTACCAGTCCAACCGCCTGGGCTGCACGCAGGGCACAGACTGTGCCGGCACAGGGGACAAAGCAACTCGCGCGAAAGCTGTGATTGTCGGCACAGCGGGCTGCCCAAGTGCTGGCGCCCTGGCCGAAACGGCAGTGATGTACGTGTAGGAGTGTGTGGGCCTGTGGACTCCGAGCTCCGAGCGGTTCGTTTGCTGTCCCTTGACACACCTTTTGTCTAACCTGGAACGAATTGGTTGATGCACTGTGCAACGACAACAGCTGATGCAAAGCGACGGCAAACGGCGTGCTGACAGGACAATGAGCAACACGCACTGGCTTTTGCAGATGAACGACTCAGCTGCTGCAGTCCTTGGTTTGGCTGTACACGAACCCTGGCAACCTCACAATGCACACCTTGGGCGGCAATGGACCTGGACAAGTAGTCAACACGAGTGCAGGGAGAACAACTCAGAAAACGTGTGCTGCAATGCCAAGATGGCGGCAAGTAAGGCTCGGCGCCCACGGCTGCCAGTAAGCCTCCACTGCAAATGCGATGGGGAACCCTGGATGACAAGAGTCCTATTAACAATTAGCACAACACCAACCACACGCACACGCCTGCCGGCGGCTTTGGGGCCAAGACCTGGGCAGCTGCTGTTTGGCTCTTGCCTTGTCCAGAACCCCAAAAACCACAACCTCAAAACCACCAAGCCCCCCGCGAATCTCTCGGCACCTGCAACGGATTATGTCACGTGTACGTATTAAAATGCAACAGGAGAACTGGCGCCTAGGGCAGCCCACAGGATGGCGCCTCGAGGCAGCCTGATCAAACGGGATTGTGCTTAGCACTGCGATGAAGCACGTGCAACCTGCGGCCAAGCCGAAACAAGGCGCCGCGGTCGATGCATGGTGCAACCTGTAGATGGCTGAGCCCCTCGCCAATGAAGTCGGCAGGGCAATCAGCGGGAGCCCGCCCTCAGTTGCTTGCGCGACGGCGCCAGGACGGCACAGTTTGCTCGCAAGCGTCTCGGAAAGGATATGGGCCAGGTGCGTTGCCAAAAGGGCCGGTGCCAGCACCCTGGACACTGCTGCTGAAAGGGTTGGTGCTTGCCGACGCGGCACTTACCAACCGAGGGAGGCGCGTACAACTCGCCGCTACTCTCGCTCCCG